AATAGCTGGAATATTGAAACAAATTGGAATTTCACATTGCATTCCAGTATATCCTTCATGACATTGGCATTGATCTGGTTTTTGACAAATACCATGTGAAAAACAAACATGACTTTGATTAGTAGCATTAATTCCAAAACATATTGGAATTGAACAGTCTATTCCTGTATAATCTGAGTGGCACACACACTCGTTATATTGAATACATTGTCCGTTACCATTGCAAGCTTGAGTTTCATTTGATGGCACGCCAAAACAAATTGGAATTTCACATTGTAATCCAATATGATTTTCATGACATTTACAATTATTTGGAGAATAACATTCACCAAATCCACTACATACTGAACTATTGGAAGCATCTATGTTGTAACAAATTGGAATGGAACAATTATCGAATGTAAAACCATCAAAACATGTACAGTTATTTGGAGCCAAACATTGACCATGTGAAGAACAAACCATTGATTGACTAGAATCTAATCCATAACATATTGGAAGGGAGCAATTCAATGCAGCAGTGTATCCATCATGACATGTGCAAAGATTATGGTCGATACATTCTCCATGGAATGAACATGTGCTGGAATTGGTTGCTGGAATGTTGAAACAAATTGGAATTTCACATTGCATTCCAGTATATCCTTCATGACATTGACATTGATCTGGTGCTTGGCAAACGCCATGCGAAGAACAAACAGTTGGGTTGGTGGCATTACTTCCAAAACATATTGGAATTGAACAGTCTATTCCTGTATAATCTGAATTACACACACATTCATTATATTGAATACATTGTCCATTACCATTACACGACTGAGTTTCATTTGATGGAACTCCAAAACAAATTGGAATTTCACATTGTAATCCAATATGATTTTCATGACATTTACAATTATTTGGAGAATAACATTCACCAAATCCATTACACACTGATTGATTGGAAGCATCAATATTGTAACAAATTGGAATTGAACAATTATCGAATGTAAAACCATCAAAACATGAACAATTATTTGGAGCCAAACATTGTCCATGTGAAGAACAAACAATTAGCTGACTAGAATCTAATCCATAACATATTGGAAGGGAGCAATTCAATGCAGCAGTGTATCCATCATTACATATACAAAGATCATGATCAACGCAGTTACCATGTCCATAACAAGAATGTGAAAAATTGGCAGGAACATTGAAACAAATTGGAATTTCACAATTGACACCTGTATAACCATTCTGACAGGTACAGGTATTA